GAGAAAACAGAGAGACCAGAGAGGGACCAGAGAGAGATCAGAGAGAAAACAGAGAGAAAACAGAGAGAGACCAGAGAGGGACCAGAGAGAGACCAGAGAGAAAACAGAGAGACCAGAGAGAGACCAGAGAGAGAGAGGGACCAGAGAGAGACCAGAGAGAGAGAGAGACCAGAGAGAGAGAGAGAGAGACCAGAGAGTGAGAGAGGGACTAGAGAGAGACCAGAGAGAGAGAGAGAGACCAGAGAGGGACCAGAGAGAGACCAGAGAGGGACCAGAGAGAGACCAGAGAGAGACCAGAGAGAAAACAGAGAGAGACCAGAGAGGGACCAGAGAGAGACCAGAGAGAAAACAGAGAGACCAGAGAGGGACCAGAGAGAGACCAGAGAGCGAAACCTCTGTAGTAATCACCACGGTGCACACAAGCTCTCTCTAGTCTCCCTCTCTCTGGCCTCTTTCTCTGGTCTGGCTCTCTTTCTCTGACCTCTCTCTTTGGTCTCTCTCTCTTGTCTCTCTTGTTGGTTTCTCTCTCTCTTGTCTCTCTCTCCCTCTCTCTGGTCCCTCTCCCTGATCTCTCTGTCTGGTCTTTCTCTCTCTGGTCTCTCTCTCCCTCTGATCTCTCTCTATGGCCTCTCTCCCTGGTCTCTCTCGCTGGTCCCTCTCTCTTTTCGAGATTAGAAATACCGTGTTATATTTGTCATAGAACCATGTAGCAGAGCCTCCCACCAACACAACATCACTTCTCACCTGGTTGCTAAATGCTCGACCACAGGTTAATTCCAAACCTAGTGTTTTTTGAGGCCATCTCCCTGCTGACTCTGCTGATGCATTTGTCTCCTTCGTTAGCAGATGCAGTCCAGGGTTAATTGATTGCAGATGAATGTGGTTGATTTGCAACTCAACCAAGCTAATAATGTGTTATTGATCGAAGCATTAGCCGCCGCCGGATGTGGCCGAGTCAGAGCGCTGCCGTAAGTAGTCGTTGGGTGTTTTAATCAAATTTAATGATATTATACGTCTGGCTAAGCTAACATGACTCACCCGGGTTGACGAATGGCCGCACGAACGCTATTCATTCCGTCTATTGTGTTTTTCGGAGCCAGATGGTGGAAAAGGAAAGTGAATTAGCCACCTCGCATGCAGCCCAACCTCGACAAAGAGCCGGCAGTTGGTAGAATTAGACGGCTTTGTACTGTTTTGACTGAAATCTAACTTTTGTTTTTGATTATGTGGACATAATACGTCTGCGTTTGTTCTCCAAGTCTAATATTTCTTAATTCTAGCTCACTTTCAAAGCACAGGAAATGGATCTATGTAATTAAATCTGATGAGAGAGGGACCAGAGAGAGGAGAGAGATCAAAGGGAGAGAGACCAGAGTGATAGACTTGAGAGAAAGAGCAGAGAGTAACCTGAGAGAGAGAGACCAGAGAGAGACCAGAGAGCGATCCGAGAGAGACCAGAGAGAAAGAGCAGAGAGCAACCTGAGAGAGAGAGACCAGAGAGACAAGAGAGAAAGAGACCTGAGAGATACACCAGAGAGAGAGACCAAAGAGAGAGGCCAGAAAGAGACCTCTGAGACGGAGACCAGAAAAAGAAAGACCAGAGAGAGAGAGCAATCCGAGAGAGACCGGTTAAATCCAGGTAGAGGAAGTTCAGTGTTTGTTTACAAGAGTACTAGAGTACCCTTTAACAACAGGCACATGCCTTGGCTGCTAAATCAAGACCCCTCTCTCCCGGATAGGTCTCTGCTCCAGTGTGTTTCCATGGTGATTTCAAACATTCCAATAACTGCTGTGTCGTCTCTGTGGATGTAGAAGAATATTCAAAAGACAATTATACAAACTATCTAATGCAAACTTAATTACCAGTCCTGGTTCAGTCCTGGTTCAGTCTGTTTTCGGTCCCATTTTAGTCCTAGTTAAGTCCCGGTTAAGTCCTAGTTCAGTCCTGCTTCAGTCCTGCTTCAGTCCTGGCTCAGACCTGCTTCAGTCCTGGCTCAGTCCTGGTTCCGTCCAGGTTCATTCCTGGTTCCGTCCTGGCTCAGTCCTGGTTCCGTCCTGGCTCCGTCCTGGTTCCGTCCAGGTTCAGTCCTGGCTCCGTCCTGGCTCAGTCCTTGTTCAGTCCTGGTTCTGTCTGTCTTCGGTCTCATTTTAGTCCTAGTTAAGTCCTGGTTTAGTCCTGGTTCAATCCTGGCTCAGTCCTGGCTCCGTCCTGGCTCCGTCCTGGCCCCGTCCTGGCCCCGTCCTGGCTCAGTCCTGGCTCAGTCCTGGTTCAATTATTGAATGCAAACTTGTTCCTGTGATAAAACCATGTGACATAAACACCATAACGACCTCAGACTCATTAAAACCCTGTTGTTTCTGCTGCTGGTGTCTTCCTGATGCAGATGTAGTCACACGCTGGGATTCCGTTTGTTAATTCTACCCACAATCCTCCTCTGCACAAAGTGTTTCAAGAATAACCTCTGTGTGTTTGTGATCCCGATAATTTGTGCCTCATTGACTTCTGTAAACTCCCGGCTCTGTGAACGACCCACGGCCAGACCCTTACACTTTTAATCGGCCGTTTAACGAACTCCCAGAGTGTAATTGCAGGTTTTAAAATATGAACTTTGGGTCGAGGGGTGTGTTTGGTCTGTGCGAGGATACAGGTGATTTTCAATAGTCACGTTTCAACCGCAGGTAAAAGGACTTTCTCTGATCTCTCTAGTCTCTCTGGTTCTCTGGTGTCTCTGGACTCTCTGGTCTCTCTCTTGTATTTCTCTTGTCTCTCTCTGGTCTCCCTCTACTCTCTCTGGTCTCTCTCTGGTCTCCTCTACTCTCTCTGGTCTCTCTCTGGTCTCCTCTACTCTCTCTGGTCTTTCTCTGGTCTCCTCTACTCTCTCTGGTCTCTCTCTGGTCTCTCTCGGGGCTCTCTGGTCTTCCTCTGGTCTCTCTAATCCCCCTCTGGTCTCTCTCTGGTCTCTCTCGGTTCTCTCTGGGGGTCCCTCTGGTCTCTCTGGTCCCCCTCTGGTCTCTCTGGTCCCCCTCTGGTCTCTCTGGTCTCCCTCTGTTCTCTCTGGTCTCCCTCTGTTCTCTCTGGTCTCCCTCTGTTCTCTCTGGTCTCCCTCTGTTCTCTCTGGTCTCCCTCTGTTCTCTCTGGTCTCCCTCTGGTCTCTCTCTGGTCTCCCTCTGGTCTCTCTGGTCCCCCTCTGGTCTCCCTCTGTCTGTGTGAGGATTTAGTTGATAGTCACGTTTCCACCGCAGGTAAAAGGACGTGATGGGATATCTAAAGGTCTGTCCTCTGCCTCAGCCTCTCGGGGCCGTGTCTCCGCTGACAATAATCAAACATTATTTATTCTACGGTAGGACCTGCTTTGGTTGTTGTGGTCTTTGAGTTCAGGGCCAAACAGAGTACCTAGCATGCAGGAGGTACTACGTTGGTCCCCGTCAAAGTTCCTGTAAAGGGCCCTGTGGAGGTTCCTGCAGTGGAGACACGCACCAATGGGCTCCCCCTGGAAATGTCTCTCCAAGTTCCCGCGTTTTGCCTGTTGTGGGTTTTTACCGCAGTTCAGGAGAAATTGTTCTTGAAGACCACATCCTCCAACATCCCTCCAGTGTCCTGATGGTACATTGTTTATTTATTTGATAAGAAGACACGTGCAAGACATTTAATTCCCAGTCGATCCAATTCTAGACTTACACATGTTTTGATCAGTTTTCAACACTGTGGCTGTTCAGGGTCTCTAGCCCGGTCTGGTTTTGGTCCAGGTCTAATTTTGGTCTAGGTCTGGGTCTGGTCTTTATCTGGGTCTGAGCTTGGGTGTACTTCAAGTCATGGTTTAGAGTCCATGTCAGGTCTCGGCCTGGTTTTTGTCCAGGTCTGGTTTTGGTCATGGCTTGGTCTTGGTCCAGGTCTGGTCATGGAACTGATTTTGGTCTGGGTTTTGTCTTGGTCCGGGTCTTGATATAGTTTTTGTCCATTTCTGGTCTTGGGTCTGGTTTTGGCGTCTGCAGTTGTAAAGTACAAAACTCAGAAATCTCCAACCGCAAATGTCACCCTTTAAAACACCTTGCAGACTTTTGGTAGTAAATTCCTGGGTCGCCTTGCATGAACTGTTTGACCTCTTCACAGATCTCCTCAATAATGTTGTAATTTAGAAATAGAAAACACATTTATTAGTTACTATGGCGATGCATGGATCTCCAAAATGTGGATAAAACAACAAAAATTCTCAGTTTATTTCTTAAATTCCCATTAATTCCGTCCTGGTTCAGTCCTGGTTCAGTCCTGGCTCAGTCCTGGTCCAGTCAAGGCTCAGTCCTGGCTCCGTCCTGCTTCAGTCCTGGCTTTGTACTGGTTCAGTCCTGCTCCAGTCCTGGCTCAGTCCTAGCTCAGTCCTGGCTCAGTCCTGGCGCCGTCCTGCTTCAGTCCTGGCTTAGTACTGGTTCCATCCTGCTTCCGTCCTGGTTCAGTCGTCCTGGCTCAGTCCTGCTTCAGTCCTGGTCCAGTCCTGCTTCAGTCCTGGTCCAGTCCTGGCTCAGTCCTGGCTCAGTCCTGCTTCAGTCCTGCTTCAGTCCTGGTAAAGTCCTGGCTCAGTCCTGGCTCCGTCCTGGTTCAGTCCTGGCTCCGTCCTGGCTCCGTCCTGGTTCCGTCCTGGCTCCGTCCTGGTTCGGTCCTGGCTCAGTCCTGGCTCAGTCCTGGCCCAGTCCTGGCTCAGTCTTGGCTCAGTCCTAGTTGCTGAGGACATAGTCTCCTTGCATGAACTGTTTGACCTCTCCACAGATCTCCTCAACAATGTCACAATTTAAAAATAGAAAACACATTTATTAGTCGCTATGGCGATGCATGGATCTCCAAAATGTCGCTAAAACAACAAAAACCCCTAACCCTAACCTATTTTTGAAAATCCGTCATTTCGCATCTCTAGCTTCCACCTTAACTCTAACTTTTCCTCTTTCTCCTCCTCTCTGCAGCTGTGTGTCGGAGGCCCAGCTCGGCAGCTAGAGGAGAGGTCTTCACCATGACAGCGCCCCCTCTGGTCCTCCCGGGTTACTGCAGCTGTGTGGGCGCCATGACCACGACACGGCTGCTCCTCCTCCTCCTCCTCTTCGTCACCTCAGGACTAACGCAGACCGCGGAGGAGCCCACCAGCCCCAGTGCGTTGGACCCGCTCAGCCGCCCCGAGTGCACCAAGAAAGAGCACCCCAAAGTCTCCATCCAAGGTCAGACGCAGCCGCATTTATTCGTATATGTTTCGGAGGATGTCGACAATGATGTTAGAGCTGTGGACTGTGTTGTTGTCTCAGTTATTGGAAAATGGAAAACACACAAGAAAACACAGGGAAGCAGAGGCAGAACTGCAAAAGAATACAGTTTAATACATGACACAAGGAAAAGACATTCATAAATTTGGAAAAAATGTATTTGTTCTTTTGCTGGGAATTTTTGATGTTGTCATTGGAGAAATAAGATTCATCTATCATTTAAGATAATACATATAATAATGCATCAGTTTTATACAGCGATTTTTGGGCACTCAAAGAAGCTTCATTATTAATTCACTCCAAACACGGTGGTGATAAACTACTACTGTTGCCACAGCTGCCCTGGGGCACACTGACAGAAGCGAGGCAACCAGTCTGAGCCTCTGACCACCACCAACCATTCACACACACACCAGACTCATTCTAGGCAATAAGTGTCTTGCCTAAAGACACAATGGCAGTTTGGCCCTGCACCTGTTGTTCTCAGGTGTTAAGTGTCTTGCCACGGACACAACCTTTAGGCTCAAAGGCCAATGCTCTACCAACTGAGCAACTGTGTGTTTGGGCCCATAAATCCTTGGCCAATTGTTTAACTCTGACTCCGTTTTGGTTACGTCTAAACCAGGCATGTCCAAACTCAGGCCTGCGGGCCAATTGCGGCCAATTCTGCTGCTAAAACCATTGCTTTGAGGCACTTTGACAGTGTCATCCAACCAGTGCTGTGCGTGAACGAGTTCAAAAGAACGCGTTCATTGAACACACTCATTTTTTCGTGAACGTTGAACTGAACGCAACACATTTTAAAAAAAGAACTTGAACGTGAATTAGTTCATTTTATGTGCCATGAACGGCAGACATCACTATGAACGTTGGAATCTGTTTTCTCTTTTGAAACGCAACGAGAGAAAGTTCCTCCCTCCGGTATTCTCGCACTTTTATATATATATATATATATATATAGCTAGTGTGCAAAAAATATTTATTTAAGTATCTCACGAAAAAAGTAAAATGAACTGAACTTTGAACTAGTTCAGAATTAAAAATGTGAACTTTGAACGTGAACTGTTCACTTTGAGCATGTATGAAGTGAACTTGAACTAGTTCAGAAAAGCTGTGAACTGGCACAACACTGCATCCAACCACCTTCAGCTCCGTCAATGCAGTACCAATGCTATACCTTGTTGCAGACCTCAGACCCTCTGGAATCCTGTCATTGACTCTATGGTTATTTACTGACATTTGTTTTATGAATGTGCCACAGCATTCAAAATAAAAGGCCGCTGTGGTGTGAGTCAAAAACCCATTTTTAATTCCAGAATCCAGTCAATCCAGCTCGTATCCTGTTTTAAAATCCAAATGATCAGCCCCAGGTTAAAGTCTGATGAACTAAAGTGGCCGTCTTGCTAGAAAGTTTGGACACCCCTGGTCTGAACAGACAGTAACTGATCTGGTTTTGTTCAGAAAACTCTAAAAATACAAAACATTCAAAAAGTCACTTCACTAATGTGTATGATTTGTAAGTACTTTGTAAAATGAACTCCCAGGAAGCTGCTTTACCTTCTACAGAATAATAATATCCAAACTCAAATTATCATTCATCTTTATTAAGGACACAATACAATACGGCTCATCGTTAAAAATATATATGACATAGAGTATTGTAAGTACATAAAGAAGACCAAAGATGACCTTCAAATACTTTTATACTTTCGGCCCCCGACCAAAAGGAGTTTGACCCCCGGCCCGCTCCTACTTTGTGGTTTATTATTGTTTTTTGTGTATTTTCCTTGCATGAAAATACCCATTAAAACAATCAATTCATCAATTTTCTTCCGCTTCATCCATACCCACGTCTCAGAGGCAGCAGTTTTAAACAGACGCCCAGACTTCCCTTTCCACTCACACTTCCTCCGGCTCATCCGGGGGGCATCCAGAGGGGTTCCCGGACGAGCTGAGGGCCCTTCCAGTCTGTCCTGAGTCTTCCCCTGGTCCGGAGAAAATCGTTAAGATATTAAGAGGAGAAAGAAAACATGTACAGTAGCTCCAGTAATGATAAAGTACACATTAAAGTTTTACATAGGCTTATCAATGTGTATTTTGCAGCAACACATTACAGGCTTCAATAACAACACAAACAATACAATACAACCATATTAAATACAACACACATCAATACAACAGACATCTATATCACATGAGACACAGGGACCAGTCCATAACATACAGTCCACATACGCCACACGTCCAGGAGCTCCCATAATATCGACGTGGAGAGGGCTTTTCCCCAGAGCTGAGGCCCGTGGCTCAATACCTAATTCTGTTCCTGGATCAGATCATGTGCGCCCGGGGGAAGGATAATTTGTGGCTTTAATATGTTGCGTTTTATTTTCTAGACAACACAGAGCCAGCTTCAAATCAATATAACGTCAAAATCAAAGTAATATGGCTTTTCGGTGCGAGAGGACAGTCCATGTAAACCCCCTGGAGACTGAATACATGCAGGACATACACAGAAAGAAGCTAACGATGAAATCAGGTCGAGGCTCTAATGTGCGGAATATATACAGGAAGACAAGGTTTAAATTGCTCTTGTCTCAGTCTACGTTATTAGTTTCTGTGAGGTTTTATTGCCCGGACCATTAAAAACAATAAATCTTCTTTTTAAGTCTTTCTGCTAACTTACACAGGAGGCGTTACAGCACGTACGCGTTTACGTGCAGCAGACACACGCAACATATTTCTATGTTAACCTACAGTGATATTTAAACTACTAGTGTTATACCACCGTATGACGGATGTATGACGCGATGCTAATTTGTGCGTGCAGCAACGCGTCTCCCAGTAAAAACACATGTGAAACATGATTTTTCTAGCAGCCCTTTGCTCTAGATCGCATCTGCACACACTGCACTTGTATCTAAACATCAGCAGGAGGAGCAGCAGGTTTTACAGTGATTCTGGACATCGGTTTTTTTTCTTTCATAAAGTCTGGCATCTGGTCAGACCAGCGCAGAGACCATGAAGACAAACACATGCATGTGTCAACGCCAACAGTGGAAATGCGCTGTTTTACCAGTCTGACATGCATAATTTATTATTAAAGCAGGGTTAACTTGGGCTAACTGGGCTAACTGGGCTAACTGGGCTAACTGGGCTAACAGGGCTAACTGGGCTAACTGAGATAACTGAGCTTAATTTGGCTTTAGTCCACGTAAAACCCCAGGAGACCAAATGCAGTACAAAGCACAGAAAGAAGGTATTGATGAAATGTATATATTTTGAGGAGGATGTGGCTCTAATGTACAGAATATAGAAGGGAAGACTTACTTTAAATTTGTCAGTTTATGTTATTAGTTTCAGTGAGTATTTTTACCTGGACCATTAAACAAGAAATGTGCTCTTTGATTTAGAGTCTGTTTTTGAGCCGCTCTTAAACCAGTCTCACAAACAGCATTTGTTATTAAAGCAGGGGTAACTTTGGCTAACTGGGCTGACTGAGCTAACTGGGCTAACTGGGCTGACCGAGCTAACTGGGCTAACTGGGCTGACTGAGCTAACTGGGCTAACTGGGCCGACCGAGCTAACTGGGCTAACCGAGCTAACTTGTATATGTTGTGTCTCTTTGTGGTTAAAGTGGCTACATTCTTTTTGTATTTTAAACGCTAACCAGGCCTGTTTAAAGAGAGAGGAACATGTCACATGGGTTTGCGAGTGACATGCCCTAGCTCTCAGTGTTGTCATGGCGATATTACACAATAGAGATGTAACGTGAGGCGCCCGTTCCCCGCGTCTTGTCGCAATCAGTACGTTCCATCTCACAATCGTATCTGACTTAAAAACACGAGAAAACAAGAGATGGCAAAACAAAAAATATGCATTGTTTGTCCCGACAGAACGAGCCGAGAAAAAGTGAATTCAAATCAAAGAATCTGTTATAAAAGTGAGGGACTTAATTATCTGTGGTTTGACAATTAGATACTTCAGCTTTAATTTTTATGTTGTTTATAGAACTATGGACGTATGTATTTGGACATGATCTAAAGTTTTGACAGTGGCCAAAACAGGTTTCTCTCTTGTCTGTTTCTGGTCTCTCTCTGGCCTCTCTGGTATCCCTCTGGTCTCTCTCTCTCTGGTCTCTCTCTGGCCTCTCTGGTTTCCTTCTGGTCTCTCTCTGGTCTCTTTCTGGGCTATCTCTAGCCTTTCTCTGATCTCTCTAGTTCTCTGGTGTCTCTGGACTCTCTGGTCTCTCTCTTGTCTCTCCGGTCTCTCTCTGGTCTCTCTGGTCTCCCTCTGGTCTCCCTACTCCCCCTCTGGTCTCTCTGGCCTCTCTCTGGTCTCTCTCTGGTCTCTCTCTGGTCTCTTTCTGGTCTAGCCTTTCCCTGATCTCTCTAGTCTCTCTGGTTCTCTGGTATCTCTGGACTCTCTGGTCTCTCTCTGGTCTTTCTCTAGTCTCTCTGGTCTCTCTCTCTCTGGTCTCTCTCTAGTCTCTCTGGCATCTCTTTCTCTCTCTGGCCTCTCTCTGGTCCCACTGGTTTCTCTCTAGTCTCCCTCTAGTCTCTCTCTCTCTCTCTGGTCTCTCTCATGTGAAATTTGAGAGTGAGGGTCTTGATAAATGTTGTGTTATAGATGCTAAATAAAAAATACATAAACCTCAATAACATTTTATTTCCACAACTATCGGGACATTACAGAGAGGAAGTGGTTAGATGGATTTTTCTACACAGCCAATCGTTAGTTGCAAAGTTAAGTACCCCAG